AGGGTTTCTCTTCAGTATGAATTTTCTGATGTCGTCTAAGATTTGAAAACCGAGTGAAAGCTTTGCCACATTCTTTACATTTGTAGGGTTTCTCTCCAGTATGAACTACCTGATGTATTCTAAGGCTTGCTGACTGGGTAAAGGATATGCAACATTCTTCACATTTGTAGGGTTTTTCTCCAGTATGAATTCTCTGATGTCTTCTAAGGCTTGCCAATCGGGTAAAGGATATACCACATTCTTCACATTTGTAGGGTTTCTCTCCTGTATGAATTCCCTGATGTAGTCTAAGGCTTGCTGACTGGGTAAAGGATATGCCACATTCTTCACATTTGTAGGGTTTCTTTCCAGTATGAACTACCTGATGTATTCTAAGGCTTGCTGACTGGGTAAAAGCTTTGCCACATTCTTCGCATTTGTAGGGTTTTTCTCCAGTATGAATTCTCTGATGTTTAGTAAGGTATGAATTATGGCTAAAGGATTTACCACATTCTTCACATTTGTAGGGTTTTTCTCCAGTATGAACTACCTGATGTTTTCTAAGGCTTGCTGACTCAGTAAATGATATGCCACATTCTTCGCACTTGTAGGGTTTTTCTCCAGTATGAACTACTTGATGTCTTCTAAGGCTTGCCAATCGGGTAAAGAATATGCCACATTCTTCACATTTGTAGGGTTTCTCTCCAGTATGAATTTTCTGATGTCGTCTAAGATTTGAAAACCGAGTGAAGGCTTTGCCACATTCTTTACATTTGAAGGGTTTTTCTCCAGTATGAACTACCTGATGTATTCTAAGGCTTGCTGACTGGGTAAAGGATATGCCACATTCTTCACATTTGTACAGTTTTTCTCCAATATGAATTCTCTGATGTTGTTGAAGGACTGAATACTGAGTAAAGGTTTTGCCACATTCTTTACATATGTAGGATTCATACTCGGTATAAATGTTTTGAAGTTCTTCAAGCTGTGAACTCTGGTTAAAGGATTTGCCATATTCTTTACATCTGTAGGGGTTTTCTTCAGTATGGATTATGTTATGTTTTCTTAGATTGGATGACTGACTAAAGACTTTCTCACATTTATAAGGTCTGTGTGAGTTTTCTCCAATATGAATTCCCTTATTTTGAGAATGTTTCCCTGACTCAACAAAAGCTTCTTCACATTCATTACACTTGTAGGAATACTCTTGAATATGGATATCCTCATGGCTAATAAGCTTTAAACATTGATGAAAGACTTTCTCACATTTTTTACATTTATACTGGATCTCTGGATATTGAGCTTTCTGATATTTTGTAGAGCATGAGACTTGGTTCAAGGTTTTTTCAGGTTTATTGCATTGATAAATTCTCTCACCAACATGAATATCTTGGTAATTATTTAGGGTAGAGTTCTGGATAAAGGACATTAAAGTTTTATTGGATATGTAAAGTTCTTCCCAATCATCTATTCCCTCATATTGATTAAGCAATGATGATTGGGTAAACACCTTACCAGATTGATCACAGTCGTAGATTTTGGCATCTGATGGTATTATTGGTTCGTGGAAGAATAATAAGGGTTTAATGATGGGCTCATCAAATTGATCACATTTAGAAATATTCTCTTTAATTTTAAATCTCGAGTCATCAGAAATATTTGACTGAACACTGAATCCAATCCTATATCCAAAGTCTTGGGTTTCTCTGGGGCTTTCAAAAGACTGGTTATTGCTTCCTTTAACATGTAGTGCTGAAAAGAAATGCAGATAGAGTGTAAATGACATGTTGAGTTCACTGAGAACAAAAATGAATAACTATTACAGCAACAGAGAAACTGCATAACATATGGAATTCATTATGGAGGGTAAAGATTAAGGGCTTTTAACAAGAAATAGACAAACCATTTTAGTGGGAAAATATACAGAGTACTCCAGAAAAGACACATCCTGCCAGCAGTTTGGAGAAGTGCCCTGAATGTGTAGTATGGCTGTACGGAGCTAAATTTTTCCTCAACAAAGCCATTCTCTAAAGGATGACATAGGTGGTTGTTTTTTAAATGACACAAATCTCATTAAAAATGAAAATATATCAAAGAAACTAAGAAACATAGTCCAATAAAAGGAAAAATATTCAAGTGACCCTAAAGAAGTGAAGATTTATAAAGTAATATTAAAAATATTTAAAATATCTGTCTTAAAGATGCCCTATCAGCTCAATAACACAGACAACTAAATAAAAGGAGGAAAGCAATGCATAAAGAAAATGAGATCATTTCAAACATATTAAAACTAAAAAAAAAAACTACAAAAAAAGTATGGAGCTGAAAAATAAAATAACTGAATTTAAAGATTGACTAGACAGGGTCAACACTAGACTTGATATAGCAGAAAAAAAACCAGCAAGCTTGATAATAGGCCATTTGAAATTATAGTCAAGACACCAAAAAGAAAAAATGAAGAAAAGTGAAGACAGCCTGAGGGACATATTACCATCAAGCATGCCAAAATATTCCTAATGGGAGTTCTATAATGAGAGAAGAGAGAAAAATGAGTAGAGAGCTTACCTGAAGAAATAATATCTGAGAATTTTCTAAATTTGAGAGAGAAAATAGCATAAAATTTAAAGAAGCTCAACCTACTCTAACTAGGAACAACAAAAAGAGACCCAAAACAAGACACATTATAATTAAAGATTTAAAAGTTACAAAGGGAATCTTGAAATCAGCAAAAACAAAACAAACAAACGAAAAGTACTTGGCATGTACCAGGGTACTCCTATAAAATGATCGACAGATTTTTTAGCAAAAAAAACCTTGCAGGCCAGAAAGGTGTAGTATGATATATTCAAAATGTTGAAAAAAGGACAACTACCAACCAAGAACACTATTTCTGGCAAAACTGTCCTTTAAAAATTCGTTAAAAACAAAAAATTTCAAATATCAAGAAATCTTAAAAAATGTATACTCAAGAGATATACCCTACACAAATTTCTAAAGACAGTCAATTCTTCACATTGAAATGTAAAATATTAGCCACATGGTGATGTGCATATATAACGCTCTATGGAAAATGTAATTATATGCATATATAATTTGGTATTCTGTGTTACCATAATGATGATAAAATACTTCTATTAATAATTCTGCTATAGATTTGAAAAGACAAACCCTTAAATAACCATAAATTTGTGTTAATGGATACACAATATAAAAATATATAATTTGTGATATCAACAGAATGACATTGGAGATAAAAAAAAAGGCAGGGACTTTGAATGGAATTAATGTTTTCAGCTTAAAATTGTTTGTTATAACTTTCAGAAGTTTTACTTAATATCTATGGTAACCACAAAGAAAATATCTACAGCAGATACACATCTCAATGCTGCTGGGGTTTAGAGAAAAAAAAATTAACAGGAGTGTAGTAAATACACAAAAGGAAATGAGAAAGGAATCAAAACATGTCACTACAAAAATCAACAAAACACAAAGAAAGACAGTAAAAGAAAACAAGAACAAAATACCTATAAGACTTACAGAAATAAATAAAATGCAATAGTCATTCCCTTTCAGTATATACTTTCCATATAAATGAATTAAATCGATCATATTTTGTCTGAATAAATTCAAGAAATAAGATCCAAGTCTGTGCTTTCTACAAAAGACTCAATTTAGATGTAAGAACACACGTGGATGGAAAGGAAAAGAACTGAAAAATAGTAGTGAATGCAATGTCAAATACTCTCACATCGAAAAATATGTTACATCAAAAATTGCCATAAAGGACAACAAAAGACATTATATAATGATAAAAGAGTCCATTGATTAGGAAGCTATCACAAGTATTAATACATATGCACTGACCATCACAGCTCCAAAATATATTAAGCAACCTTTTATAGAACTGAAGCAAGAATCAGAGAGCAGCACAATAATAGTAGGATAATCTGATAGAACACTTTAAATAATGAAAAGAAATAAACAGGCAAAAGAACAAAAAGGAAACAGAAGACTTGAACAACCCTATAGATTAATTATACTTGAATTTATACTGAACTCCCCACTCAACAATAGCAGAATAAACACTATTCTTAAGCACACATGGCACATTATGCCAGATAGACAACCTGGTAAGCCACAAAAAAAGTCTCAATGAATTTAAGTATATAGAAATCACACAAAATATTATTTCTGACTATAATAGAATTAGAAATAAAAACCAAAAGGAAAGTCATATGTCCACAACTATGTGGAAATTAAACAACAAAAACAACAAAAAACTCTTGAAAACACTTTTGTTCAAGAGCTAAAAGACTAAATATTGTTAATATGTCAATGGTACCCAAAGTGATCCCCAGATTTGTTGAAATCTCTATCAAAATACCAATGGAAGTTTTTACACAAGTGTTAAAATATTCTGAAATTCCTACGGAATCTCAAAGGATCAAAGATGTTTGATCTCAAAGGATCAAACAAACAATATTGGAAGAGAAAAATGAAGTTAGAGGCATCATACTTTCTCATTTCAAAATGTATTACAAAGCTACAGTATTCGAAACAGTGTGGTACTTGCATAAAGACAGACGATGAAACAGATTAGAAAGCCTCTGTAAACACTCATGTATATAGTCAACTCATGCTCAGCAAGGGCTCAAAAATATCACAATGAGGAAAGGACAGTATCTTCACAAAATAAGGTTAGGAATACTGGAAATCCAAATTGGACAAATTGAAGTTGGACGTTACCTTGTACTATATACAAACAAGAACTCAAAATGGACTGACTTATTTTTTGTATCTTTTCTACAAAATTTTGAAATTTCTTTTGTCATTTACCATTATTGTGCAGAAATGCTATTTTTTATGTTGATTTGGTATTCCGAAACTTTACAAATTTTTTAATAATTCCAATAGTTTATTTTGTGTGGTATAGTCTTAGGTTTTTTTAAATATGAGATTATTTTGTCTACAAACAAGGACAATTTGTCTTCATACTTTCCAGTTTGAATGACTTTAATTCTTTCTCTTTTCTAATTGCAATAACACAGCCTTTGGAAGCTAAGAAAATCTTGACATTTCCAAATGAAGGAACAAGATAAATGTTGTAAAATATTGCGTGAATTACTGAAATAAAAAGTAAATATTTAGTATTAAATTATACCATCATTTAAATATAAGCTGAGAAAATTGGATATAAATTTTAATGATCCCTTGTTGCCTGCAATAAACTTGAACTTAAAACCAAACATTTTAATAAATATGTAGTGCCCACTAGTAATCTGATTTACTTCTTACATAACATGTAAATTTAGCATTTTATTTCAGAACTTTTGAATCTAACAAACATGGACAAATTTGATATATAACATTTCAGAAAGTGAAACATATAGGAGAATGTCATAATGAAAATGACAGAATAGGAGGTCTCTCACTCATATCCCCCACAACATAATGTGATAGCCATGCCCAAACAAGGGAGGCTTTATGGGAGTTTTGGGATCCAGGTCAGAGTCTGTGATACCTTGGTGGAGCCCAAAATTAAGGACGATGATTTTGAGAGAGCTGGACCATGACATAGTGGCAGACTTGCCAATAATAGTCCTGGCAACAGAATAAAAAATGACCATATCCCACTGTAGACTTAGATATAGCCCATTTAACCTTGGTCCTGCCACTAGCACCATCAGCAAAGATACACAGGAAGATTCATATCCACCTGTGTCTCAGGTAAACATGCCTGCAGACCGTGGTCCTATCTTTGGCAACTGAATCAACCTAAAACCCACCCTTTTCACTTCTCATCCATTGTATGTGAAATTCTGTCTTCACAGAGATTATCAGGGAGAAACATCCATCTGTGTTCCTGAATGTAGAACCACCAATATTGATCTGAAAGTTGATCTTGAAGTGGCACTGAAACCTTTCCTCAACCACAGTCCAGGACTAGTTTAGCTCAATCTAACATATGTCTGGAAGTACACACATTTGTTTCCATAGAGGGAGGCCTGCTAACAAAAATCTTACTGTGAATCTTAAAATTGCCTTGTTAACCAGCTCCAGTCCATGTCAGCCAAAGTCTAGAAGCAGTCCTGCTCATCCAAAAAATTGGAAGGAGACATGACATGGACCCAGAGACAGACCTGAAGACATTGTTGTCAGTTGTGTATCCTACAGAAGCCCTATACATCAGTTCCAGCCCCTCACAGCTGTAATCAGGAGTCAGTCCTGCCCATCCAAGGACCTGTCTCATGACCGAGTGAGAGAACTCCCAGAGACCCAGCAGGAGCCATACCTGTGCACATACATCATAACAGTATTGCATTTGCAGAAACAACTGCAGTTTCTTATCTCAGCACCAGTCCTACTTACCAAGATCTTGAAAAAAATTTAGTCTTCCCGTGGAATAGCCAGGATCCACGACTGTTTGATGTCTTGATAACAAGTCTGCCAACCATGGAACCCACTGCAGACCTAGTAACAGTCATACGACTTGACTCCAACCTCACTCAACTACAGTCTCAGAAAAAATCTCATCAGGCCAAGGTACCCAATAGGAGAAGGTACTTACCTCCCAAAACTTGTTTATAATGACTGGAAGAGGTGTTTGCTCCTTCAGATTCAAAGACAGAATCCAAGGATATACAGACCATATAAAAATCAGGCAGATATAATCACCAATAAAAGAAACTAATAAAGCTCCAGTAATCATCTCTAAAAAAATGAAGATCTAAGAACTGGCTGACAAAGAATTCATCTCAGTGAGATACAAAAGAACACAGATAGATAACTTAAAAAATCATAAAACAATGCATAACAAAATGAGAATTTTAATAGAGAAATACAAAAGATAAAAAAATCCTACAGCTGAAATACACAAAGGTAGAACTGAAAAATGTAAGAGAAAGCTTTTAGAGGAGACTCAATTATTCAGAATAAAACTTCAGCAAACTCAAAGAGAGGTCATTTGAAAGTAGCCAATAACAAAGAAAAAAATGAAAGAGTAAAGAAAGATATGGGTCCAAGAGTGCATCATTAAGTGAACAAATATATGCATTTTTGAATTTCAAAGGAGGGATAAAGAGAAAAAAGATTATTTTAAATTTAGTGTCTTAAAACTCCCCGAATCTAGAAAAAACATGTGGACATTTGGTTTCATTAAATTCAAAATATCTAAAGTAGGGAATACGTTATAATGTAAGTATACATTATAATTGGAAAAATACAAAGAGAAAAATGACAAGATTGAAAACAGCAAGAGATCAGAGTCTTCAAATATAACAGAACTTTTACAAAATTAGCAGATTTTTTTCAGCAGAAACCTTGGAGGTCAGATGGAAGTGAGGCCATATATTCAAAGTGCTAAATGAAGAAAAAAAAAAAAAAAACCCTGACAACTAAACAGACTATATCTGAAAAATCTGTCCTGTAGAAATGAAGAAGAGGCTGGGCGCGGTGGCTCACGCCTGTAATCCTAGCTCTCTGGGAGGCTGAGGCGGGCGTATTGTTTGAGCTCAGGAGTTGGAAACCAGCCTGAGCAAGAGCGAGACCCCGTCTCTACTAAAAATAGAAAGAAATTAATCGGACAACTAAAAATACATAGAAAAAATTAGCCGGGCATGGTGGCACATGCCTGTAGTCCCAGCTACTTGGGAGGCTGAGGCAGGAGGATCGCTTGAGCCCAGGAGTTTGAGGTTGTGTGAGCTAGGATGATGCCACGGCACTCTAGCCCGAGCAACACAGTGAGACTCTGTCTCAAAAAAAAAAAGAAATGAAGAAGAGATCAAGACATTCCCATAAAAGAAAAGTTGAAGAAATTCATCACTACTACACCTGTCTTACAAGAAATGCTGAAGGGAATTCTTCAACATGACATGATAGAATGGTAACTAACAATATGAAAACATATAAAAGTATAAATCTCACTGGAGACACTAAGTACAATGGAAAATTCAAAATACTCTAATACTGTAATGATGATGCATAAGTCACTTTTAACTCTAGAATAAAAACTACAAAATAACACTATTAAAAATGAAGATGACTAAAATAATTTAATGGATACACAGTACAAAACGGTGTAAAGTATAACATAAAAAGTACAAAATCTGTTGAATTTTTTCTATACAAAGAAGGTAATCTGTTATCTTAAGCTAGACCTAAGCTAGACTGTTATAAGTATCAAGTGTTGTATGTAAGTCTTATAATGTAATAACATTAGGAAAACAATTGAAATAACACCAGGAAAATACAGGAAAAAAAAGAAAAGAGAAAGAAATCAATAAAAGCATATACCAACAACAAAAACAAATCAAGAAAGTTAAAAAACAGGGGGGAGGAGCAAAAAAAGTTAAAAAACAAGAGAAAATAGTATTAACAGAGAAACAAAACACTATAAAATGGATAGAATAAACAAAATTACAATAGAAAGTCCTTACCTCACATAAATACTTCACATATAAAGAGACTAAATTATCCAATGAAAAGACACTGCTACAGACTGATTGAGCTCTGAAATTTATGGTAAAATCTAATTGCCATATGGTGGAATTAAGAAGTGGGACCAGGTTGGGTAGGTGTCTTATGCCTGTACTCCTAGCACTCTGGGAGGCCAAGAAAGGAGGATCACTTGAGGTCAGGAGTTTGAGACCAGCCTGAGCAAGAGTGAAACCCCTTCTCTACCAAAAATAAAAAAAATCAGCTGGGCATGGTGGTGCATGTCAGTAGTCACAGCTACTCAGGAGGCTGAGGCAGGAGGACTGCTTAAGCCCAGGAGTTTGAGGTTGCTGTGAGCTAGGCTGATGCCATGGCACTCTAGCCTGGGTGACAGAGTGAGACTCTGTGTCAGAAAACAAACAAAGAAAAAGAAGTGGGATCTTTAAGAAGTAATTAGCTTACAAGGGCAAAAGAGCCAATAAGGTTTTTCTTTTTTTATCATAGGAGTGTTAATTATCATGAGCATAGGTCTGCTATTAAAAAAAAAAAAAAAAAAAAAAAACTCTGTCTAGTGCACACCCTTCTCTCTCCCTCAGTTCTTCGGCCTTCCTTCATATCGTATTTCAGGAAAAAAGTTCTTTACCAGATGCCACTACCATGTTCTTCCCCTGCCCAGCCTTCAGAATCATGAGCCAAATAAACTCCTATTCTTTATAAATTATCCAGTCTGTGGTATTTTGTCATAGTAGCAAAAATGGAATAAAACAGAGCAGGTGAATGGATTTTTTAAAAAACTCAAATCCAAAATTATGCTGCTTACAAGAGACTCACTTTTTTTTAAGGACAAACAGGCTAAAAGTGAAGGGATGGAAAACAATATCCCATACAAATTATAAACAAAAGAGGGCAGGAATGGTTATACTTATGTTGTACAAAATACACTTCTAGGAAAAATCTGTCACAAAAATAAAAATCATTCACTATATAATTACAAAGAGGTTGATTTTCCAAGAGGGTACACAATTAAACCTACCTACATATGCATGCAACACAGCTCCTAAATATATAAAGTGAACATTAACAGAACTGTAGGGAGAAATAGACAGAAATACAATAATAAAGGGGATTTCACTACCCTACTTAAAACAATGGATAGGTTATTCAGAAAATTAATAAGAAAAGAGTGCACTTGTAAAACACTATAGACCAAAGAGAACTAACAGACACAGATATAACATTCCATCCAATATTATGAGAATACATATTCTACTCCATAACACATGGAATATTCTTTAAATATAGCATATGTTGGACAAAAAAAAAGTCTTTTCAAATTCAAGAAGATTAAAAGTATATTAAGTTTTTCTTTCAGATCACAATGGTATATTAATCAAACTGGAAATCAATAGCACAAGAAAAATTGGGAAATTCACAAATATGTGGATAATAAAAAAACATGCCCCTGAGTAACCCATGGGTCAAAGAAGAAATCCAAAGCAAATGAAATTCGAAGCACCACCAATGAACGAATACTTCTAGAATGCAACAAAAGCATTATTAAGTTTATAATGACAACTTTTGACATTAAGAGAAAAAGTTCTGAAATAACCTATCTTTAATAGCCAAGGAACTTAAACAGTAGGAATAAAATAATCCCAATGTTAGCATAATAAAGAAAATAATAATAATTAGATAAAAAATATTATAAATAAAAACTAGAAAAACAATAGAAAAGATCAAAGTAACCAATAGTTGAGTTTTTTAAAGAAAACAGAATTGACAAACTTTTGGCATAGAAAGAAATTAATCGGACAACTAAAAATACATAGAAAAGAGGAGACATTAGAACTGATATCACAGAAATACAAAGTATAATAAGACCATAATGTGAACAATTATATGACAACATATTGGATAAATCAGAAGAAAGTCACTACAAGAAAGAAAAGCCTGAACCATTATCTCTGATGAAGATACAAGCAGAAATTCTCAACAAAATACTAGAAAGCAAATTTATCAACACATTAAAAAGATCATACAGGCTGGGCGCGGTGGCTCACGCCTGTAATCCTAGCTCTCTGGGAGGCCGAGGCGGGCGGATTGTTTGAGCTCAGGAGTTCGAAACCAGCCTGAGCAAGAGCGAGACCCCGTCTCTACTAAAATTAGAAAGAAATAAATTGGACCACTAAAAATATATAGAAAAAATTAGCCGGGCATGGTGGCGCATGCCTGTAGTCCCAGCTACTCGGGAGGCTGAGGCAGGAGGATCGCTTGAGCCCAGGAGTTTGAGGTTGCTGTGAGCTAGGATGACGCCACGGCACTCTACCCCGGGCAACACAGTGAGACTCTGTCTCAAAAAAAAAAAGGTCATACACCACGAACAAGTAGAATTTACACTTGGGATGCAAGGATGTTTCAACATACACGAATCAATAAAAATGATATAATGCAAAAACAGAAAAGATGGAAATCATACGATTATCTCAACTGATTTATTAAAAGCATTGGACAAAATTCAATACACATTTATAATAAAAACTTGAAACAATATACATACAGAGATATCTACCTTAACATAATAAAGGTCTTATATAACAAGCCTTCAGTTACCATTATCTTCAACAGTGAAATGTTAAAAGATTTTCTCTGGTATCAGAAACAAGAGAAAGAAACCCAATCTCACACTTTTATTCAACGTAGTACTGGAAGATCAAGCCAGAGCAATTAGGTAAGAAAAAGAAACAAAAATCATTCAAATCAGAAATGAAGAAGTAAAATTCTCTCTGTCTGTAGATGAAGAGATCATATATAGAGAGAACTACAAAGATTATATCAAAGAAAGTTAGAACTGTCGGGACCGTCCCTGGGTAAAAATTGGCTTAAACCCAGAGTCAGCGAAACTGGATGTGCTCTCCTTGGGGCCAGAGGACAATAGGTCCGGATACGGCCTGTTGAACAAACAGAACTATTCCTCATGATGGACAGCTTTATGACAGATAACCAAGCGCCTGGGGTCTTGCAAACAAGCCAAGGCGTCTCATTGTCCTGCATATGGTAATGAGATAAAGAAGTTAAGATGCAAACATCTGCTTCCCTTGAGCAATCGTCTGGAAGGAATGACAATGTGTTTTCCTCAAGGCGCCCAAGGTAGTCACGTACCAGGAAGTAGCTGCCAGACATAGAAAAAGTATACAAATAAAACGACTGGTGGAATTGACCACTGCAGTCTTGTACGTCTTATGTGTGTCTGTGTGTTTCTTTCTGTGTCCATCCCCCGTTCTGCAAGAACTACTAAACCCATTCACTAAAGTTGTAGGTCATAAAATCAACATTCAAAACTCAGTTGCAGGCCGGGCACAGTGCCTCACGCCTGTAATCCTAGCACTCTGGGAGGCTGAGGCGGGCGTATCCTTTGACCTCAGGAGTTTGAGACCAGCCTGAGCAAGAGCAAGACCCTGTCTCTACTAAAAAAAATATAGAAAGAAATTAGCTAGACAACTAAAAAAATATATATATATAAAATTAGCCTGGCATGGTGGCACATGCCTGTAGTCCCAGCTACTTGGGAGGCTGAGGCAGGAGGATTGCTTGAGCCCAGGAGTTTGAGGTTGCTGTGAGCTAGGCTGACGCCACGGCACTCTAGCCCAGGCAACAGAATGAGACTCTGTCTCAAAAAAAAAAACAAATAAACTCAGTTGCGTTTCTATATAATAACAACAAATTATCTGTGAAAAAAGTTAAGAAAACAATCCCAGTTACGATGGAATTAAATACTATAAAATTCTTAAGACTCAATTTGACAAAACAGGTGAAAAGATCTGTTCAGTAAAATCTGACATTAATGAATGTAATGAAAGAAGATGCAAATAAATGAAAAGATATTCCTTGTTCATAAATTGGAATAACTAATATAAAATGTCCATACTGTACAAAGCAATCTACAATCCCTATTAAAATTCCAATGGCATTTTTCATAGAAATAGTAAAGAATTCAAAAATTTCCATGAAACCACAAATGACTCCAAATAGCCAACAAAATCTTGAGCAAGAACAAAGCTGGAGTCTTCTTGATTTCAAACTATCACAAAGCTATACTAACCAAGAGTATGGTAGTGACATAAAAACAGACAAATACCAACGGAAAAGATTAGAGAAAGCAGAAATAAACCCATGAGTATACAGTCAACCAGTTTTTGACAAGGGCACCAAGATACACAAAAAAGAAAGCATAGTCTCTTCAATCAATGATGATAAAAAGGAGCTATCCCTATGTATAAGAATTAAATTGTACATTCATACTATATGCAAAAATTTACTAAAAATGGATTAACATTAAATGTAAAACCAGAAACTATATAACTTCTAGAAGAAAGCATAGGGAACAATCTCTTTGATATTAACTTGGTAATATATTTTTTTTTATATCACACCAAAAAACTACAAGCAACAAAAGCAAAAACCAAAAACAAGTAAGACTACATCAAACTAAAAAGTTTCTGCACAGCAAAAGAAAAAAAAAAACAAAACACATAAAAGAGCAACATAAGAATTGGGAGAACATATATCTGATAAATGTAATACTTAAAATATATAGGGATCTCAACTCAATAGCAAAAAAAAAAAAAAAAGTAAATCTGACTTAAAATGTGCAAAGAACCCGAGTAGATATTTCTCCAAAGAAGACATAAAAGTGGCAAATAGGTTTATGAAAAGATTCTCAACATAATTACACATCATGAAAATGCAAGTAAAACCACAATGAGATATTACCTCACACTTCTTTTAATGACTATTATAAAAAAGTCAAGCGATAATAAATGTTGGCAAAGGTGAGGAGAAAAGGCAACTCTTCTACAATGTCAGGGGGAATGTAAATTGATCCAGCCATTATGGAAAGCAGTATGGAGGCTCCTCAAATATTAAAAACAGAAATACCATACAATTCTTCCATCTCACTTCTGGGTATACATCTAAAGGAAATAAAACCAGCAATAGAAAGAGATACCTGCTCTCCTATATTTATAGCAGATTATTCACAATATATAGTAGAGTATTGTGCAGCCATAAGACAAAAAGGAAATACTGCCATTTGTGACAACATGGATGGAGGAACCAGGTGGGAATTATGGTAACTGAAATAAAATAGAGAAATAAATTACTGTATGATATGAGCTACTGGTGGAATGTAAACAAGTAGAGATCACAGAAGTAGAGAGGAGAATGGTGGGTGCCAACACTGGGGAGTGGTAAAAATGGGGAGATATTTGTCAAAGAGTACAAACTTTCATTTACAAGATGAATAAATTCTGGGGATATAATTGTTCAGGTGAAGAGCTAATGTACATGGGTTTAGAGAAAGATTTCTTCAGACAAAGCTTAGGATATATAAGTATAAAATTTATTTTATCTTTTAGGAGGAAAGAAATAGAGTGAAAAAGTGAGCAAGAGAAAAGGGAAAAAGTGAGAGGGGAGTTGTATGGCGAAGTGCCCAAAAGACAAGGGAGGTACCTGTGCCAACGCCAAGAAACTGGTTTTCATGGGGACCAAGAGAGAGGGAAAAAAATTGTGATTGTTGTCAGTTGAAATAGAAGTGGCCGTGGAATAATTAGCAGGAGGCAGCTGTGAGATGTCAGCTTGTCTGTCTTGTGCTTTTATGTTTGTTTCTTTCTGGAGACTTGGTTATCTCTGAAATGTAGTCAGACTTATCGCTGGGGATGTGATCTTGCCCCTGAGGTTTGGTTTTAGGCAGGAAACTGAGACCTGGAGTTTGTCCCTCCTGCTGTCCACTCAGGACTCCTCAGGAACTCCTTGAGGCTATAAATTCTAAAAGACAGTGAGCTGGTGAATGTAAAGAGAAAGATTTATATTTCCTTTTTGTCTGTTGGGCTCCTTTTATTATTAGATGTTGTGAAAACAGAACCTGGCAGGGTGCCGCCTATCAGCACAGAGAGAGAGAGAGAGAGAGAGAGAGAGAGAGAGAGAGAGAGAGAGAGTGAGAGTTTATAGAATGGATTTTTAGCTGTTATTTTGCTAGCAAGACCAACAGTCCTTTCAATAATGTACAACATTGTGAATATAGTTAACAGTACCATATTGTATGCTTGAGATTAAGTAATACTCTCTTAAGTAGATGAAGAGACTAGACCTTAAGTGTTCTCACCCACCAAAATTTGGCAACTCTGTGAAATGATGGATGTGTTAAGTTCATTGTGTTATTATATAATGTATACATATATCAAATCACCAAGATGTACATCTCAAAAACAAAATTTATATTTGTAAAATTAAATGCACATGTCAGGAAGAAAAAAAAATAAACATGCAAATGAATAAACATAGAGGAAACATTCTCGGTAAGCTGTATACTCAACCAAACAGAATTATAAAATGGTAATTATTAAGATATAAGGTAACAGTCACAATGTTAGCATATGCTGGACAATGTTCTAAGCTCCCCATAAACAATTTTTAGTTAAGAACTCTATATGGAAAGTAGTACATTAAACTATTATACACATGTGGAAACTGTGCATATACAGTTTAAATTTCTAGTTCAGGCTAGGAAGAAGAAACTGTTAATGTAAAATATATGATTAGAATTTTTAAATAAATATTTTAAAATTAAATAGCTAATTAAATATTCATTATGTAATTTAATATTTACTTAAAGGGGATGTTTTCTACTCTGATGAAATTACAGGGAATTAATTTCTGTATTATCACCTTTGAAAGCTCCATAGCACTGGAAATTAATAAAACAGAAAATATTTCATATCTATCTAAAGTATTTCTGGGATTTCTGAACCAAATATCACTATGTCCACCACTATGTTCACACAGTTCTGACATGGGGCAAAAACAGAACTTAAAAAATGGGTTAACATAGAGGTAGTCAGAAATATGCACACATTTTCCCAGGACCCCAAGGGAATGGATGAGTGGATCATGTAGGCCCTCACAGGCCAAGGAGAGGACTTTGGCTTTCACTGTGAATTTCATGGAAGATCACTGAAGGGAAAAGGGAAGCCTCAGATAGTATTTTTCACAATCTTAAGGAGAATCAATCCCCAGATAATATAAAAGCATGAGAAAGATTATTTTTCTATGAGAGGAAGTGAAATAAATCTAGGCTTCTCAAAAATTTGTTTCATTGTGCCAGAGCTTCTTAATCCACACTTTAAGATCTGGCTTCCTCCTTGTCCTTTGGACCTATCACCTGTGTCATCTGCTTCATTCACTTCCACCTATCTGGGTGTTTGGCTACTGTTGCCTCTCTCCTCACATTCCAGGGCTCTTCATTTGTTTAAAAAATGTGACCAAGTCCAGCTTAGAGACAGCAATTCTATTTTATTAGGAAAAAAACCATGAATTTTGCTTGGGATTCTTCAATTTTCAACTTAGCATTGTCCTCAGTAGAGAAGACAGAATATTATAGAAGATTCTAGAAAATTATTTAAGTACTATTTTCCAACAGCACCTGTAGAATATTTAGGAAGCATTTTAAATTTGTGGATCCTGTGCTTCACTTTCAAGTATGACTGAATCACAAATAAAAAAGAACTGGATTTTAAGGTAAAGACAACAATATTTTATATCACTGAATTTCTAGAATCACCACTAAAATACAGTGAAACCTACAAATTACCTCAAGAAAGAAGGTAAATAATGACGTTAAGCATAAAGATTTTTTTTTGTACATTAACAATCCTCCAATTATTTTTCCTGAAAACAAGAATCTGAAACTCATTCATACAAAGCTCAAGCTCCCAAGACACATTCTGCAAAGAAAACAAATAAAACCCTTATGGTATAATAGATATTCTAGAGGTAAGTTATTCTCACCCACAGAGACCAGGTTTCTGTAGTTCTCTGACATCACATCCCTATACAAATTCTGCTGAGCAGGGTCCAGGCATTCCCACTCCTCTGGAGAGAATTCTATGGCCACATCCCTGAATGTCAACAGTTCCTGAAATAAAAATAAATCAATAAATAACACATTGACCACATAGCCATGGGCAGAGTTATTAGGGTCCATGTATTCCCACTCCTCCAGAGAGAATTCTACAGTCACATAACTGAATGTCAACAGTCTCTGAAAAAAAAAATCAAAAATAAATAAATAAACAAATGAACAAGTGGCCATGGGCAGAGTTCTTAATTTGACCCAAGATAAAATGAGGCAGTTAAGAGTACTGGCTCTAACATATATGAGTGACCTGAATTATACTGTGACACACTAATATTCCTTAAGGCATTCTCTACCTCTGTGGAAGAAAAATGACATAACATCCACAAAATTAGTGTAGATACTATGCTTATATAGAATATAAAATATAAAACTAAAGCATCACCACAGGAATATACATTTTTGAGTGCTATATTTACATCATACAGAATCAGTTGTGTCTATTCCTCAGATGGAAAGTCATGGTGAGTGAGAAGCATATTTGTCAAATTTCATTGGGTACACCAATGAACTGCAGATCTTGTTACAATGCAGATGCTGATTTGGGAGATCTGTGTGAGGCCTGTGATTCTGCATTTCTAACAAGCTGACTGGTGATGCCAATGCCTCACGTCTAAAAGCCACACTTTTGAACAGCAGAGGCAGAACACAGAGGGAAGAATTTATGGATGACACAGAATTGAGAGTTTCACGAAATATACAAATTATAACATAACAGCAAGAATAGCAGCAATCCCTTTTGAACATTTACTGACACTAGATGTCATTCTACCAGTTTTTCATATATTAATGCTTAAAACCACAAAAATAATTTATAAGAAAAATAACAGTATTTTTATTTTATGACAATATTTTGCCAATTATCCAGTAAAGAGTAGAGCCTGGGTTTTACCCCAATTTATCTGACTTAGAATTTAACTCAAAGGTAATGCACCCCAAAATACAGAGACAACCCCAACAGAATGTTCAGATTTCTTAACTGAGAAGCATAATGAAAACAAGTTAAGAAGACAGCAACACAAAATTGATAAAATAATGTTACATTTTATGCACACAAATACATAGAAATGGTAACTATCTACATATTAAATGTGATAGAGTAGAATATTTTTGTTTAAAGAAATATATTTAATTGTAAAAAAATTATAGATCTCTGTTGATGATTTTTAGATAAACTATGGAGACCACCACACACAATAATATAAACTAAAATAACAGCTATTGTTCCTGAGCCATTTTTTCAATTTGTTTCATTTATTCTATGTGCTCTGTTACATTTTCAAGTTTTAAGATGCTTAACATTGTACTTACATGTTAATTCTTCTTCCTTTTCTCTGAAAATACAGAGAATAAAGAAGCATGTGTTTCTGACATGAGGTGAGAATAAAATGGAAACATACAGGACTGAGGCATGACTGTTTTAAATCTACCAATTTCAAAAGTAGTATCTCAGTCAACAAATATGAGAGCCTTTATTCTCCAAAGTAAGCTATGACGAAGTAGAAACTAAAAAGAAGGGAGTTTTTGCATTATATGTGACTGTTTAAACACACTACTCAGTAAATTCCCCCAAGATATCATTAATGACAAATAGAAAAAGAACAAACTTTATAGTGAAGCAATCTTGCAGAGAACACCTTAACCAAGTGAATAAAGTTACCATCAGGTGTAATGGGACAAATTGGTATGAGGTGTCAATGATCACAGATGGACCATAATTACCACTGTGACATGAGTGGGAAAAATTAAATCATAATCTGAATCTAATCACAGAAAATAGAATCTGTGGGGGAGGGCACAGGTAATTGTATGTCTTTAAATTGGCCATGTGATCTTAACTGGAAGTCTGGGCTGAGAACCTCTTAGCTAAGTCTTGTCTCTCAAGCTTCAATGTGCATATAAATTTTTGGGGATTGCAGGCCCCACTTTAAGTAATGTGGTTCAGCAGGTTTGGAAAGGGTCTATGAATTGGCTTTTATAACAAGTCCCTCTTAATGGGGATGATGCTCTCCCTAGACCCATTATCAATAGCACTCAGCTACAGATAGCAGGCACTGCACACAAGAGTCCCTTACACCCAACACTCTTATCACAACACAAACACTATCCTGAAAGTTCACATTCCTTGCTGGCCAGTTAAAGTTTACAGAAGGCTGGAGAAGGCAGCAATGTCTGAGTGAGTCTACATTTGTAAAACAACATGTACACGTGTGTTAATGCAGTGTTTACTGAGCAGGTGCCATGTGCTCACAAGTATGGTACAGAGCTCTGTATTGGGGACATCACAGTGTGTGAGCTGATCTTCATAATAATACCCTGGGGGTCAGGTACTAAATGTCCCCAAATTCCAAGCAGGATTCAGATAAAAGACCTGGTCTATGTATTTCTCTTTTTTCCCCTATCAGTTGATTTTAAGAAGAAAATACATAAAGTAAAACCTAAATACAGAGAGGAGCAATACAGAAAAGGGTGAAGTGTAGTTCAGAAGGATTTTTTATTGTTATGTTTATATTTACCTTTTTATAACTTGTAGAACAACTACAGGTAGCTAGGTGGGATGTCTCTAGAAACACAGGTTTTAACGAGAAAAAAATTAAGGCCCCAAAAGATATAGTCCTTTGTTCCCATTTATCTGCTTTTGTGTTTTAAAACCTTGTGAGCACTAGATTTGGAAAAACAGCAGGAGCAGGCACCCAAAAGTCTAATTTCTTCTAGTCAGTTCTATGAGGGGAGATTCCAGGATGGGGCCAGACTTACACCAGGCTCAGAATAAGGTGGATCTGGGCAGGACTGGTACAGGGAGCAGACCTGAGACTTCTCATTTCTATGCTTCTGGTTTGTTTTCAGTTCTGTCTTTCCTAAGCCTGCCCAAGAGAAATTTCACTCCCAGAGTTTGTTTGATTTTATTTATATATTTTATTATTATTATTATTATTGTTATTATTATTTGAGACACAGTCTCACTCTGTTGCCCTGGGTAGAGTATAGTGGAGTCATCATAGCTCACTGCAACCTCAAATGCCAGGGCTCAAGCGATTCTCTTTCCTCAGCCACCCAAGTAGCTGGGACTACAGGCACACACCATGATATCCATCTAATTTTTCCCTTTTTAGTAGAGACATGTTCTCCCTCTTGCTCAGGCTAGTCTTGAACTCCTTAGCTAAACAATCCTCCCATCTCCCAGAGTGCTAGGATTATAGGTGTGAGCCACCATATCTGGCCTGATTTTAATTTTTTAAACCCTATTCTTATCTATTTTGTAACATACAATGAATGACAAGCTATTTAACACAAACTCATAGGGTTTTCCAGAAAAATTATAAGCTTAATATTAACAAGATAAAAGCAACAGAAATAATAAACATATGGGGGGAGGGGGAGGGACAAGGGCAACATACGTAACCTAACCATCTGTACCCCCATAATATGCTGAAATGAAAAAAAAAAAAAGAAATAATAAACATAATAATAACTCTTCTATCCATGAACTGCCCTTCAGTGGTGACAACAACATAAGGGACATGGTACAAATGAAGCCCAAGTCCCCTGAATACCTGCCTTCTTGGTACTGAATGCAAGATGCTAAGTGCAACCACTGACACATTGTTTCTAGACTGAAAGTTTCTGGACATTAAAGACCATGACTGCTTCCTCTGGTTTTCTCATGACCAGACAAAATGAGGGCAATTGATTTATCCATCAGTTTGCATCTCCAGACCTCCTCCTTGCTATTTACCCAAGGACCAAGACACCGGAACAACTCCCATCTGGGCACCAACCAAGGAGATTTCTTCTGTGAGGGGAGAAATAATGCCCAGATCACTCATTTCTCTCCCTCTCAGATGGAATTAGAACTAAATCCTGTTGTCTGTCTGAGCCCATTCTGCACAGGATATCCCCAAAATGTCAAAGTCTCCAAGGTCCTGGTAAGAGAGTCCCTAGTGACATTAGGCTGATGGCCCCATGGTGACCCAGGCAGGAGAAACTCAGGCTGACTGTGGGTCAGAAGAGAGAATAAACCTGCCCTGGTGAAGCAGCTGACCCTGGATCAGCTGTGTGCTATTACCTATCCATGATCAGTTAACTCTGGGGTAAGAGGAAGGACAAGAATGCCCTAATACCCAGTAACACCGTGTATAGGCAGGTATTGTTGTGGTCAGGGCAATGGATGTTTTGTGGCCCCGCCCTCTGGCTGCTCAGGTGCTTGTTTACACTTACAGATTCTGCCGTCAGATTCTGTTCACACCAGAAACCCCTCACACAACTATAGCAGCTCACTGGCCAAGATCAGAAAAATTCAGAAGTCCCCACTCCAGAAATGGGGCTTTAAGATATCTATGTTGATCTCGTCTCAATACAGAAAATGTCTCCCTAGATTTTCTGTATATCCTCAGTTCAACATCTGGCCCTGTCTGGTGAATCCCAGGTGGGGGCCAGATATTATAAGCAGGTGTCAGGTGGGATCAACCTGGCTCTGTATTCTTGGGTGTTACAGTGAGCAGAAGGAAGCTGGAGGAAAGATCCCCTCATGGAAAGGATCTAAGGCATCCTGAAGAAGCTAAAGACTTGGATTTATTTTGGAGCTAGAAATTTAGTTCTTAGAGAGGCTGGGGACTTGCAGATGCCTTCTGTATATCCATGATCATTTGTGCAAAAGAAGGAAGTTGGGATTCTAAGGCCTACTCAATACACATGTGCAAGCCTCATTGAGTTTTGGGGCCCCATTGACTCTGACTTGGTTTCAAGTTCTGAAGATGTCAATTTCATTGAAAAAAAGAGTAGGATGACTAATTGCTGCCTGTGAAGTTATTTTTTGTAAAAATCTGCTCTAACTGCTCTAGAAGAGACAGTGGATCCCAAATAGGCAGAGAGATGATTCTGCCATAGGAAAAGACCGCACTACAGTGAAACCTGATGGGTACCATATATGTTCATATCATGTCTGGAAACTCTGGATAGCCTTTCAGAAATACAATAAGTAAGAAAATCATCTCCAGACC